ACTGGAAGGTAGAAGTCACAAGACACCTCAGTTGACCAGAGGGTTTCTAGAAATGGGACTGGCTGGGCAAAAACAAAAGCTTTCACCACCTTCCCAAATTCATTGCCCTCGTTTAGAATAGGAGCACTGGTGGGGGTGCAAGAGAGAGGGGGCAGGTAGCCTTTCTATTTGTCCCACCTTCCGCATCATTAGACGCTGGTGGGGACCATTCATTGCATTCTGTCGGCCATTAGTGTCAGGGCAGAGTTGACACTGGCACTACACTCCTTCAGTACCATCTAGGGATAGCTCCGCCTGCTGACAAGATGTCTCAAAGTTTCCAGAAAAGACGCCACCTTGAATTCCACGTGTAGCTCTGCTTCATCCTGAAATCACCCATGTCAATGGGGGATGGGTATGTGGCCGGTCGCTGGCTCCGGCGCGTGTGGAGCCCAAGATGGGGGAAGCAAATCCCTTTCACAGACCCCAGCGGGGGCTCCTGGCTCTCTGGCCAGTACGGAGGAGCGCAGTCTGCTTTCTAGCAGACGGACCAATCACGGCCGTGGCCAGGCGGCCTCTCCCAGAATACGGCCCAAGAACGAAGAGATCGGCCGGTGCCTCTGCGGTCAGAGCCCCGCGGGCTGCACAGCGCTACCGAGAAGGGGTGGCACCAAGCCCAGGTGACCGCTGCTCTGATAGGCTCTCCGTGCCTTGGCGCCACCCACCGCTGTCCCAGGACCACTGCGCCATGCGGAGCCAACTCCTACCCGAGCCATAGCCGAGGCTCCCTCCCTGCCCAGGGCACGAGCCGACGGCAAGATGGGCTGGGAAATCCCTGCTTCCTGGCCCCAGACCCTTCCTCTGGAAGCGAGTCCCGGCTCTCTCTGTTCAGAGAAAGGAAGGGTGGCCGGGGAAGACGCTGGCCGCCATGGAGGAGCAGGCAGCTTGGCAACTCCCTCCTCTGCCAAGAAGCGGCGTAAGCCCTCCTGTCTTAGAGGCGGGAGAACTGCCGAAGGAGACTGAGCCAGGGCTAGAACCCCAGTTTTTTAAGTTCATCCTTTCCTTTGTGCGATGCAGTGTTACTGAGCCGCAGCACTTGGGACACCTAGGGGCACCACCGGTGCCTCCCTCGGGAGAGGCGGAAATGCCGGTGCTGAGAAACGCGGACCCAGACGCCCACCCACATCCCCTCCAAGTACTCGCTGAGTGGTCTTGCGCAAGCTCCGTAACCCCCTTGTGCCTGGGTGCCCGCGGCCGTCCAACAGAGAGAATCACGGTGCCCGTACCCGAAGGTCGTGACCAGGATGGAATTAGCATGCACACGGGCCTAGAACAGAGCCTGGCGGGGGAGTGGGGGGGCGCGAAGTGTGAGTTACTGTGATTAAGGAGCAGCTGAGTCACTCAGGTCCCTTCCTCCTAATCACGTGTCTGAAAATAAAATGGGAACCCTCTAATCTACCCTCGGGGGTCCCCCGCGCTACCTATTATTTCCGGAGTGTCTGAAACAATTCCGGATTCTATTTCCTACAAGCCACTGGACCGGGCAACTCTTCCAGAGAACCAAAATCACCCGCAGGGGGGTCTTCACAAGGCAGGGGTGGGGGTCGGGTGGGGTGTCTTCTACCCTCTCCCCTCCTGCTGCTGCACTCTGCCCTCCAGCTGTGCTTAGTCCCAGGCTGGCCCTAGAGCTGGTCCCACCCTGCCCTCCAGGGGTTCACAACCCAAAGGAAGGGGTCCAAACGCGTACACAGCAGTCCAGAGACGGCCTGTCCTCTTCTTTGCTGGCTGTATGTGTTGTTGCTGTGGCATTGGCTCTATTGATTTAAAATCTTCATAAAGATAGTGACTGCTGACCAAAAATATAAAAATAAAAGGAGCCAAATGGCATAAGCGACCAGCGGGGCGCTGAGCTTAAAGGAGGGGTCCAGAAAGCTGGTTAACTGTCACAGGGGGCCTGGCAGGAAGGAGAAGGCAGACAGGCCCTAGTGCATGACAGCCAGAGAAAGCTGAAATGGTGGGGTGTGGGGCTGGGGCGGGGGACTCCCGAAGCCCCTGTTGGAGAGGAGTCCCCACTCAGCTCAAACTTTGGGGCTGGAGGCTCCCCAGAGAGGATCACAAGAAGGCCTGGGCATTTTTGCCCCCCACCCCTCCTTCAGCCGGTCCTGGAGGAGGCTTCCGTCTTCCAAGACCCAATCCTGCACCATCTTCAGAGCGGTGCTGTGTTGGAGCTCAGCACGAACCACATTTAAGCTCCGCGGTCCTTTCCTCCAGATTCGCGTCCAGAACTTCCCCAATCCCGGTCAGGATCCGCGCGGGCTTCTCTCCCACCTCCCTCCCCTCCCCACCCCTGCCAGGAAATCTAGGTGCTTTGGGGAGGTTGCGCCCCAGATCAGGGTGAATCTACAACTCGGAGTCCATCGAGGGCTCCGCCCACAACCTGGCCAATGCAGCCGCCCCCACCCACTGGAACTTTCCTCAGCTTCTGGAGGCTTCCTTCTAGGTCCTCTTTGACCTGAGTCAACATTTAAGTTCTTAAGGGTGGGGGGTGGGGGAAGAAGGAGGTGTCCTGGCACACCTCAAACTCAACTCAACTCAAACAAGTCCCAGGAGGCTAGGACGGGATGAGCATGGGCCCCAGGGCCTGTCACTCTGACCCCCTGATTGTGAATAATCGGAGACCCTTGCCCCTGAACTGATGTTCCCAGTCAAGGTGGGTTCGATTCTCCCCTCCCTGTTCTTTGGGCCACCTCCTGCCACGCTCTGTGGAGTCTTCTCAAACGGGGTGAACGTGCCAGCGTTGTAGGTTCTCCGATGGTCACTGCCGCTATTAATCATAGCAAGAATATTAACCGCAGCATTTGCCTCCCCTCGGCGGGTGGCCTCACAGCTGCCGGGGGCCCCACCCGAGGGCTGACGCGGCTCCCGGAGCACCTTCTGGGGCCTCTCCCCGCGGGGCCTGGCTGTCCGGGCCGGGCCGCCCGGGCCGTGGGGACAGTCTAAATCCGGAACGCGATTGCGGCAGGAATGCGGCGCGGAAGCACCTGATCTCGCGCGGCGGCCTGCTCCAGGCGCTGTCCCTCGCCTCCCCCGCCGCCTTGGAGCTCCGGGCCGGGCTCCAGGTCCGCATCCTGGGCCTCCCGGGACCACCCCACCCCGCCCCAGAGAAGGGACGGGCTGGTCCCCAGCGCGCGCGCCCAGCGCACGCGCGGACACTCACTTTCTTTGGAGGCCAGTGGGCTCTCGGCGCAAGGTCGGGGACGCTCGACTTTTCCCGCCGCCCGGAGGGGGCGTGGTGTCACGCCCCGCCCCTGCCCGAGACCCCGCCCCCGCAGGTTGATGGCAGCGGCAGCTGGGACTGCAGCGGCGCCCGGCCCCGGAGAGCCGCAGGCAGCGGCTGGAGCGCGCAGCCGGACACTCGGGTCCCAGAAGCCGCGGACACCCCAAGAGGCAGCCCCGGCGCTCTGACACCTCCCTCGGCCCCCAGCGTGCCCCCAGCCCCCTCTGCAGAGGAGTCGCAGCGTGAGCGACCCCCCCAACCCACTCAGGACCAGGTACCCACCCAACCCCCCGCCGCCAAGGAGTCGGTGGGTCTCAGGAGGGGGCCCAGGTCTGCGTCCCCTCCCCCGCCGCCAAATTGGGCCCCGGGCGGGGCGGGCTCGGTGCCTATATTTGGCCGGTCAGCGCCCCACGGGGCGCAGACACCTCGTCCTCCAAGAACGCAGTGGCCCCCGGCAGGAGGCCGGAGGAGGGTGCGGGGAGGCCCGGCCTCAGGCCCGGGGCTGCAGGAGCGGCCTGAAGGACACCGGGATGCCCGGTGCTGTTGGCGGGGGGGTTAGCCTGCGGCGTCCCCTGGGGAAGAACGCAGCTGCAGGCCATGGCGTCAGAAAAGGAACCTCACTGTTCTGGCAAATCAGGACCAGAGGTCGAGGGCCTCACCGCCAGCAGAGTGTCACTGTGAGCAGAAGAGCCCGAGAAGTTGGGCCTCTGATTGGTTGGTGGGCAAAGCCAGAGCCTCTCCAGGAGATTAGGGCCTCTTGGAGAAGCCAGTGCAGGGAGGAGACAGGGGAGAGGTCCCCTTTATGTGGTGGCCCCCAAAAGAAGGAAGGTAGATGGACACAGAAGCAGGCAAGGTTTCCCTTAGCTGACAAGAGGGACAGACTTCTTCCTGACCAGCCAGAGGAAGACTGCAGAACACTGCCTGCCTGAACCTTGCCAGAATGTTGAGTGTGTTCCCGCTGGGAGCTCGAGGCCTTGAGCCAGCATCAAGGGCCAGGACCTCTGCTGGTGGAGGTGGTACCTGGGAGATAGACACTTGCATAGTGCGATGCTCATCCAAGGCTGGTAGTGCCTCCCCAAAAAGCACTCTGAGACCCCCACTGTGCCCCTAAATCCTAGCCCCTCACATTAAGCAGCCCTTCTTGGTTGCCAAAGAACAGCTACGCCTCCCTACTGCCATCACCTTCAAGAACGTTCCCTGTTGCTAGAACCGGAATCTGTAAGAGTTCACACCTGACTCCCAGCCAGAGGCAGGAGCCCTGGTGGCCCAGCTAAGGAAGCGATGGGCTGCTAACCCCGAGATGAAGGGTTCACACCCACCAACCAATTCTGTGGGAAAGATTTACAGTCTCAGTTGAGTCAGAGTGGATGCCCCGGCAAGGGGCAGCGGATTTGATTTTTCCGGCAGATATCCTTCCTCTGGTCACACACTGCGCTTCTGCACTTCTCCTCCCTCCCACAGCTCACAGGGATTCGGACCAAAGACCTTTGTGAGCTTTGATCTCCTGGCCTCTGCCCCCAGCCATGAGCCGGCGTGTGGTTCGCCAGAGCAAGTTCCGCCATGTGTTCGGGCAGGCGGCGAAGGCTGACCAGACCTACGAGGACATCCGTGTGTCCAAGGTCACATGGGACAGCTCCTTCTGCGCCGTCAACCCCAAGTTTCTGGCCATCATTGTGGAGGCTGGAGGTGGGGGTGCCTTCATGGTCCTGGCTCTCACCAAGGTGAGGGATTAGGGGAAGGAAGCAGGTGGGAGGAAACCAGCAAGTCGCCCCGGTCTTCTGACATCAGCCTGTATTCACATGGCCTGTACTGCATTCTTAAGGCAGGAGGACAGTTGGTGTGGCCTGACTGCTCCCTGTTCCCTAGGCCTGTGGGGGGCGTCTTCAACCCTTCTCAGAGCTGCCTCTCTCTGTCCAGAGGCCTACACCTTGTCCTCAACCCAGTCTCCCTCTCTGCGCAGCACCCTGTCCTCAGTAGGGCTCCTGAAGAGGGTGATGGAGAAGCAGAGTCAGGGCCTGGCCAGCTTCTGCTCCGGTCTCTGCTAACACTATCCCTCTTCCTGTTGTGGTGTGGCAATCTTTATCCCCAGTCCACAGGGACCATTTGATTAAACACATCCCACAGAGCAGCAGGTAGAGGATAAGGCCAGGACCCATCCAGAGTCCCTGGTCGCCTTCCCACTGAGGTTCTTACACGGAGAGAGACTGTGAGTGACAGCCAGGAGACAGGCAGTAACCTCAAGCCTTGTGTCCATCCCAGAGGGCCACCCTGAGGCACAACCTCGACCTGGCTCCTGGCTCCTAGACCGTGGTAGGGGAGGCCCCACAGGTGGCAGGGTCAGGAAGAGGCCTGACAATAGCGGGTGACTCACCCTGGGACAATGCAGACACCATCCAGGGACACCGTCCCCAAGGCTCTAATTTCAGCCAGAGCTGCCTCCTCCCCCAGTCCTGGCATTCATGCCACATGGCTGCCTCTCTCCGACCCGCCTGGTCTGGGCCAATGCCAGCCCCTAGAGAGGGCTCTGAGCCCCCACAGCAGCCTGTGAAGACCAAAAATAGATGGGTCCCCAGCTCCAGTTTGGGGATAGTAGGCACCAGGATCACCTGCTGTTCACCATCCCAAGGTGAAGCCAGTGGTGAGGGAGAGAGATGCCAAGAGTGGCTAGGAAAAGACTGTGGGCGCTGTGCCTCACCCTCACCTGTACCCGCACTTGCACCTGGGGGCTTCCCAGATGGACCACTTATGAGAACAGGCCCCCAAACAGCCTCCTCCAAGGCTTCGGAGGAGCGTTACACTGAGAATTCAACTACTGATGCGGGTGGGCAAGTGATTTCACCACTCCGGAATGTGAAAAGAGGGAGCCCTGTTGTCGTTAGGAAGTGGGTTGCTAGCTGTAAGGTTGGCAGTTTGAAACCACCAGTCGCTCCAAGGAACAAAGACGAGGCGTTCTCTGCAAAGACTGACAGTTTCAGGAACCCACAGGGGGCAGTTTGACGCTGCCCTGTAGGATCACTATGAATCAGAAGGGACCCCATGGCAGTGGGTTTAGCTTTTAAGAATTTGAAAGGACTTTTTGACTTTCGGGGGAATGGGCTGGAGTGGGTTGGAAGGACTCAGAGGGCCTACCCCCCCCCAAAAAAAAAAAGAAAATCCCTCACAGGAAGGTAGCTCCTCAGCTCGCTCTCTGACCCCTGCAGACAGGGCGAGTGGATAAGAACCACCCACTAGTCACTGGGCACACTGCTCCTGTACTGGACATCGACTGGTGCCCACACAATGACAACGTCATCGCCAGTGCCTCGGACGACACCACTGTCATGGTAGGAGGCAGGTGGCTGCTGCTGTGCAGTGGGCCGGCCAGTGGGAGAGCTGCCTCACCTATGCCGGGCTCGGTGGGGCAGGAAGGGCTGGCTCCAGGGCTCTGCCAGGCCCAGCTCCCAGGCTACTTTTAGCTACATACCCACCCCTCCCAGGATGCACTGCTTAGGATAATTATAGCCTCATGGCCAACTTGGGCCTTGAAGAGCAGGGGGGCAGTGCCCTGGAGTCTGGTGGGGTGAATGGGCTGGTCCGGAGAGAGCTGGCAGTGCCCCCTATCTGCCTCTCAGCTGACTCTACCCCAGGCCACCACTACCACATATTGCCTTATATTCGGCCCTCCCTGCCTGGCCTGAGGGGGGCGTGGGAGTGAGGACCGGGGTGGAGGTGGGACAGAAGCAGCTCCTCCCCCACCCCCTTTATGCCCTTCTTGCTACACAGGTGTGGCAGATACCAGACTACACCCCAGTGCGGAACATTACTGAGCCCATCATCACACTCGAGGGCCACTCCAAGCGTGTGGGCATCATCGCCTGGCACCCCACCGCCCGCAACATCCTACTCAGCGCAGGTCCGGGCCCCAGGGAGCAGTGCCCAGTGTAGGTGGGGGGCGGTGGCGGGGAGCAGTCAAAGGCGGGACCCAGTTGACAACGCCTGGCCACTCTGGGCAGGTGGTGACAATGTGATCATCATTTGGAACGTGGGCACCGGGGAGGCCCTGCTGAACCTGGATGACCTGCATCCCGACGTCATCCACAGCGTGTGCTGGAACAGCAACGGGAGCCTGCTGGCCACCACCTGCAAGGACAAGACCCTGCGCGTCATCGACCCCCGCAAGAGCCAGGTGGTGGCGGTGAGTGCCAGGCGTGGTTGCCCTCCAGGCACAGCCCTAGCCCCTGCCTCCTCAGGGACCCCCGCTGTCATCTCCCTGGACCCACAATCCTCTGAGCCCTGGAGCTCGTCCCGTCCTGCCCCCAGAGACTAGCCCTCCTCCCCCAGGCTCCTGGGCAACTCCAGGGGCCACGACGCCCCGCCCCGTCCCTATTCGGTCCCCAGCTCTGCGCCCGAGACCCCTAGAGGAGGTCTCCTCGCTTTGGACTTGCAGGGAGAAGCTGCAGGCTGCATGCTCCCACTAGAACCTGCATAAAACCCCAGCTCCAGGGCCCCTCTCTCAGCGGGCCCTCGGCCATCTTCC